AACTTCTCAATTGGCTTCGTGCACCATCGTTACAGCTTCTTACCCCTTTATTATAGCTCCTTTCCCAGCTCTCCAGCTCTCCTGTTACTGTCCACCTGAAAGACTTCTGCGCTAGCTCCACTGCTCAATTCAACGCGACCAGACCCCTGGCCGAAGCCCGTCAGATCATCGCGTTTACTATCTACTCTTCTTCCCCTCAGCGACTTACTCCTCACTTCTTGAATTGAGGTAAACACGTCAAGATGAGTGAAGGCGAGCAGCAGACTCGCGACATCAAGAACCACCTTCTCTTTGAGATTGCTACTGAGGTAGCTCATCGAGGTCAGTCATTTGCGACAGCTGAATCCTTCATTCTCCCGAGTCTTCACATACTAACCCGTGGCGCAATACAGTCGGTGGTATCTACTCGGTTATCAAATCCAAGGCTCCTGTTACAACAGCTGAATATGGCGATCGCTACACCCTGATTGGTCCCCTCAACCATCAATCTGTAAGACTTCAGCTTGAAGATTCTCATGACTCTCACGTACTGACCACAATAGGCCGCCGTCGAGGTGGAGGAGATGGAACCGACCAGCCCGGAGATCGCTGCTACCCTACAGTCCATGAGAGATCGAGGAGTTCACATTGTTTATGGCCGTTGGTTGATTGAAGGGGCTCCCAGAGTTATTCTCATTGACACCAAGACTGCCTATGGTCGCATGGATGAGTGGAAGGCCGATTTGTGGGAAGCTGCGAGCATTCCTTCACCACCTGGTGACGATGAGACCAACGAAGCCATTGTTTTCGGTTACCTAGTCGCCTGGTTCCTAGGAGAGGTACGTTCGCTTGACCATTCCACTCATCTCAGATCTGCTAACCGTAATATCTTATAGTTCGTCTGCCATGAGAAGAAGAGGGCTGTCATTGCTCACTTTCACGAGTGGCTTGCTGGCGTTGCCCTGCCCCTCTGCAAGAAGCGCCGCATCGATGTGACGACGATCTTTACCACGCACGCCACTCTTCTCGGCCGATACCTCTGCGCTGGCTCTGTGGATTTCTACAACAACCTGCAATGGTTCGATGTCGATGCTGAGGCTGGTAAGCGCGGTATCTACCACCGGTACTGCATTGAACGAGCAGCCGCGCATGCATGTGATGTTTTTACCACAGTCTCTCACATTACAGCGTTTGAGTCTGAGCATCTGCTGAAGCGAAAGCCTGACGGTGTTCTGCCCAATGGTCTGAATGTTACAAAGTTCTCGGCGGTTCATGAATTCCAAAACCTGCATCAGCAGGCAAAGGAGAAGATTCATGACTTTGTTCGAGGGCACTTCTACGGTCACTACGACTTTGATCCCGACAACACACTATACCTCTTCACCGCCGGTCGTTACGAGTTCAGGAATAAGGGTGTCGACATGTTCATTGAGTCCCTAGCACGATTGAACCATCGTCTCAAGGCCGCTGGTAGTAAAGTGACAGTTGTTGCTTTCATTATCATGCCTGCTCAGACCACTTCGCTCACTGTGGAGGCGCTGAAGGGCCAAGCGGTTATCAAGTCACTGCGAGATACCACACACGTTATTGAGCAAAGCATTGGCCGTCGCATCTTTGAGCGGTCTCTTAAGTGGCATGAGGGTGATCCCATGCCCGATGAGAAGGAACTCATCTCTGCTCAAGACCGAGTTCTACTTCGCCGTCGTCTCTTTGCCATGAAGCGTCACGGACTTCCCCCAATTGTCACCCATAATATGCTCAACGATCATGAGGACCCTGTCCTGAACCAGATTCGACGTGTGCAACTTTTCAATCACCCCACTGACCGAGTCAAGGTAGTCTTCCACCCCGAGTTCCTCAACTCTGCCAACCCTGTTCTTCCTCTCGACTACGACGACTTTGTCCGAGGTTGTCATCTGGGCGTCTTCTCTTCGTACTATGAGCCTTGGGGCTATACTCCCGCCGAATGTACTGTCATGGGCGTGCCCAGCATTACCACTAACCTTTCAGGTTTTGGATGCTATATGGAAGAGCTTATCGAGAACTCGAGCGACTATGGTATCTACATTGTGGATCGACGAACCAAGGGCGTTGACGATTCCGTCAACCAGCTCACTTCCTTCATGTACGACTTTTGCGGCAAGAGTCGCCGCCAGCGTATCAACCAACGAAACCGAACAGAGCGTCTTAGCGACCTCCTCGACTGGAAGCGTATGGGCATGGAGTATGTCAAGGCTCGTCAGCTAGCGCTACGCCGTGCCTACCCCAATTCCTTCAGTGGCGACGATGAGGAGGATGACTTTATACCTGGTGTTGAGCAAAAGATTTCGCGACCCTTCTCTGTTCCCGGTTCACCACGAGATCGCACTGGCATGATGACTCCCGGCGATTTTGCCAGTCTTCAGGAAGGCCGTGAAGGCTTGAACACTGAGGACTATGTTGCATGGAAGCTTCCGTAAGTGAACGTTCGTGCTTGGTGTGACGCCCTTACTAATACCGTTCGCAGTGAGGAAGAAGACCCCGACGAGTACCCATTCCCCCTCACTCTTCGAACGAAGCAACCTGCCCCCCATAGCCCTTCTGATAGGGTACCTGTCAACGGAACCCAGTAGGACCGATATTCCAGACTCTTTCGGACAGTGCTTAGGGAAGAGGCTGAAGGGGAGGGACTGTATTTGAGTAGACGGGCGAGCTTTGATTAATTATTGTTGTTTTTATGGGAACGAGAAAGAGGTGGAAAGGAGCTTTCTCATCAGACAGAAGCTTGTATGTCATTACTAGTGTTGACGCACATCCGCATTGTCGCAATTTGCATCCTGTGCTTTTCTAGTTAACTAGTTACATCCACTTGGGAAATCTGTTTATGAAGCCTCCGCAGCTATTCCAGCCCCTGGCATGGTGAATTGATCCAAACAACCGAGTAACCTCAGACGTGTAGGTGCCTTAACCTGACCTTTGGCTATTCGAGCTCGGTAGGTATGGTGCCAAATACAGCAGCCCACCTAGTCTAACGCCCACCAAGGTTTTATATTGCTTAAGATATGGACCCCAAGTGTTCTTATCGGTGGCCTGACTATCCTAAAGGGCACGACGTTTTTTACGATATGAGAGTTACATGGGCACAGTAATATTTAGGAATAAATATTTCGGGTTATTTTTTATTTTTCGTATTTATGTATTTTTTACTCAGAGGGATATTGAGTCACCTGTATGTTCAAATCTTTGTCGACAGAAAGTTAGAGCGTATCGTAACCATGGATCCATTGTAATCGAGAGACGAAAAAGTAACATAATAGCCCCATTTATATCATCCAACGACAGCCCTAGAGCTTCTCATAACACAAGGAAGGCGGCTACAGTAATGAATGGCTGATCTATCCGTAGGGGAGGAAAGAAAACACAGGACCTCGATCCTAAATGACAAAAAGACTTCGGGCAATATAGCCTAAGTTTATTTTGACACCCCACAGTCAGGTTCGCTGTTTTCTTGCCCCCAAGGGGCTGATGTCAAGACGATTGTACGATACGTTACAACGAATTCAAGCCTCCAAAGCCAGGGTAGCATGATGTGCACCGTGCAGTTGCATGCGGGAGCGAATGAGACCCCTAGAGCTGAAGGATGTAAATTGGAGAAGTGTATCATCAGCACATGGTTCGCCATTGGCGGTGAAGGATATGGCACACTTGATGCAGCGCGAATGCATGGCAGCGGGACGATGCCGTGGTGACAGACGCTTAGTTGCGTGTAAACAAATGGTCTTCATCATGACAACATGTCGAAATGGGCAAGGGAAGCGTTCTAGCTTAGTTAGTTGGAGGTCATCATGATGCGAAAGAGAAGATTTGCCAGCCCATGAGGAGTGTGTTCCTTTGCACTAAACTTAAACATGAGAGACGACAGAAGCCATGCGTTTTTCTTTCCGTTTGTATTCACTCATTGGTTGTTCTTAGTTTTGGTGCTGCAGTCATGATACATATTGTTCAGGCCGTTTCCTTTGTCTAGAGGCGGATACTGTAGCTGCATTGACACCCTAGGCCATCACATCACACTGCATCGCACCACCATTTTCAGACACTCGCAGGTCACTCAAATCCTTGCTGCGGTTCAGACTTCCCCGTGTTTCTTTACTTGTCTCCCTGTCCATCCCCTGTATAGTCCCTGTCCGAACCCCTCCGGGAGAGGGTTCAGAAGCGGTGACAACGAACCAAACAAAGCCTAAACCTGAGGGCAAGAGGAAGAGGGAATGATAGGATTGAGGGAGACTGGGAAAGTAAAAGAGGGCCGGCTGCCCTCATAATGAAGAGGATCTAACTCTTCCTTTCTCTGATCTAACCCAGTCCCTCTCATTTTGTTCCGTGAGCACTCACGGCGTTGGCACTCTTCATCTGTTTCTATCCTTTCTTTATCAATACCTTCACTCCACTTTGAGTTTGAGCACAGCCGACTTCTCCTGCATATCCAACAACTGTCGATTGTTTATTTACAGGCATACATCCCACCCATAGCTGCATGCTTCCTGGCTCCCGTCGTCTTCTGCCTCTATCCCTCTCTTTTCCCCCAGAGACAAGACTAATTACTCCCATCATCTCGTTGGATCCCCACCACCTCACCCTTTTCGAATTTCCGGTCTAGTTGGCCCGCTGCGACAACATCCATCCTGTCGCATTTCTCCCGGCGTTCAATTTCTCCGGTTCACTTCTCCTGGACAAGACCTTGCGTCTCTCAACCGCCTCAGAAACGTCGGTACCTCAGCTCATCAGCAACAGACTACCAGCCGATCAAGTACCCAGTACCCGTGCTCATTCCCACTAAAACGAAAGCCAAAGCTAAAAGCCGACGGTACCTGACGGGAACTAAAAATATTGTTAGCACAGCCAAGAAAAGCTCGTTGCTCCCCGAGAACAAAGGTTGCCCCCCTTTTTGCCAGATGCGGCGTGGGGTGTAAACAAATGAGACACGCCCGCAATCAGTACCCGACACCGAAATAAGGGCCCCCAGCTGGGCCTTGCCGCCTCCCAAGATGCCTTCTGCTACAACAACAACATCTACGGTTCCTCATAGACCAACGACTCCAAAACTCCGTCCCAGGAGCTCCTCACGCGCTATCCGAAGACCGAACAGTGCTGCGTCAACCCCTAACCTCAAGTCCGCATACGCTTCGCATTCGCGCGCCGCGCCGCCGCCTCTACCGCGCAAAGGTTCCCTGGCCCAGCTCACACAAGGGTCCCTCGCCAGCATCCCCGATGTTTCTGAGAGCTACGCCGTTGATACTGTCCTGAGCGACTCCTCACAAAACATGATGCCTCCTACGACGCCCGGTCGCTCACAGGCTGTGAACGTTGCACTTGGTGATATTGTTGATGTCCCTGGTGGAATGCATGGCGTTGTTCGTTTCGTTGGTCCTGTGCAAGGTAAGAAGGGAGTTTTTGCTGGTGTCGAGCTCGACCAAGACTTTGCTAGCCGAGGCAAAAATGATGGCGATGTGGACGGGTAAGAATAATGCAGTGTGTTGTTTCATGGGTTTTCAGACACTGACAGTAGCCAACAGCATATCATACTTCACAACAACGATCCCCGGCGCCGGTATCTTCTTACCAGCCGCCAAGGCCCTTCCTCGTCGCGATCCGATTCCGCCCTTCCCCATGACACCAGGCGCGATGGGTGGACTTCGGGCTGGCAACCAAAACTCACTCAACTACACCTCCCCAACACCTGGTCTTCCCAAGTTCAGTGCTTCTGTTGGACCCGGTGCCCGGGCTCCCAGTCCTCAGCAAAAGCTGGCACCCAGAACTTCCCTCCCCCGGCCCGACTCTCCTGTACGCCGGATGCAGATGACGCCTGGCCCAAGACCATCCATGACAACACCAGCCAAAACTCCCACCAGATATGGGAGCCCAACGCAGTCACGCTTCGCTCAGAGCGTCCGCGGTACATCAGGTGATCCGAGCAAGAGACCCCAGAGGATGGATCGGAAGCCAAGTCATGGGCCGCGAAGTGCTTCAGCCTTGGGATCGATATCAGGCCTTGATGATGATCCCGCACCTTTGGGAATCCAGCGAACCGGTACGAATGGAAGCTCCGGGTCAGTCTCGTCGTTCGCCATGAAGATTCGGCCTGCGTCGCGCATCAACGTTAATGATGAGGAACTCGATCGACTGCGGTCACAGATTGAAGATCGTGATCGGCAACTAAAGGAGCAATCCGCTACATTAGCCGACATGGAGAGTAGCCTAGTTGAACTGCAAGGTCTCATGGAGCAAGCAGACATGCCGACAGTGCAACGAAACAGCTGGGACAACAAGGACACCGCGCAGCTGCGCCAACTGCTGAGAGAAAAGAACGACAAGATAGCCATGCTCACAGCAGAGTTTGACGCTCATCGAGCTGACTTCCGGAGCACTATCGACACTCTGGAACTTGCCAGCACCGAAACGGAGCGCGTGTACGAGAAACGGATAGAGGAGCTGATGGCCGATGTTCGAGAACTCGAGTCACGTAATCTAGACGTCGATTCTGTCGCGACCCAACTAAAGCAACTGGAAGAACTGGTCCAAGAACTCGAGGAAGGTTTAGAGGATGCTCGTCGGGGTGAAGCAGAAGCTCGAGGGGAAGTTGAGTTCTTGCGAGGGGAGGTTGAGCGAACAAGGACGGAATTGCGTCGCGAGCGTGAAAAATCATCGTCAGCTCCTCCAGCAAATGGCGATCATACAGTATCTTCCAAAGAGCTTGAGCAAAAAGACGATGAGATTAGAGGCCTCAAAGCCATCATTCATTCCCTCAGCCGAGACTCTATTCCTGGGGAGCCCAAACCCCCTGCACCAAGGCCTGGCTCATTGATGGCCGAAGATGTTGTGGCGAATAAGATCGCGCGCGACAATCTCGAGCGACAAGTTGCTGAGCTCCAATCTCTCCTTGAAAAGAAAAACAGCCGCGAGGACGAACTCGAGAAGGAGCTTGAATCAATCCGTCAGAACGGTACAGCGGCCAACAGGTCTTCTTTCAGAGACTCCCGAGACACTGTCGTTATGGCCCAGGCAATGGAGAACCGACCAGTCGAGAACCTCAAGAGATCCAGTACCGCTACACATAAGCGGGTGAGCACCCTCGACACAATGCCAGAGAGTGACGACTACTCCAATGCCACAGAGACTAGCACCCTCTGGTGCGAGATCTGTGAGACTAACGGCCACGATATCCTAACTTGCACCAACATGTTCGGTCCTGATGGTGCCAAGACCAACGGCGAGTCTAAGGCCATCAAGAAGGCCAGCCGCGAGGAGCTTAAGCCGCATACCCCTACAGGCGATGATGCCCCTGCCCCTCTCACGCCATTCAGACTCAAGGATGCTGGGCCTGCCTCTCCCGCAGTTAAGATCATGCCGAACCCCATGGAGTCAGGCCCCGTTGCTGGCAAGGAAAGTGGCATCATGGACCCCGAGAAGTGGTGTGCTCTATGTGAGCGTGACGGCCATGACAGCGTGGATTGCCCCTTCGAGGATGCCTTTTGAGGGCCAAATTCAAATATCTGTTTTCTTAACGCATAGCATGTTGGAGAATCATTGGAACGAACATCAGCGTGGCTTTTCTTGAGGCCTCGCGAAGGACCATTAAATTATGCTTGGTGTAAGGGGCGTAATGAAAACCGCCTCATGCGTGTACCCCCTTTTCATGTTCTTATTTTCGAAGCTTGGGTCGGCAGTCAGGTTTTGAGTGCTTGGTCTTTGTCTGGTAAGGCACTCTTCGTGATACCATATTCTTACTTGTGTTTTATGTCATCAACCTGTCTTGTAGCACTTTTCCTGTAATACTATATGACATGGTGTATCAGACTGTTTTGTTTGGTCAATGTCCCTTGGTCATGTGAAGTCCGTAGTTGTGTATTATCTATCGCCTTGGCGTACGTTGAAACATGTCGCTGCCTATATTTATTTCCTGCGATATTTGTATTCTCTCCCCTCGAGCACTATGCCACCACCGAACACTCTTCCACAGCTCACCGTCCCACTCACCTGCTAAAGCACGATACTTCATTAAAAACCATATACTGGGCTCCCAACTACGTGAGTCCCACGGCACACCTGCACCCATGCCACGTGAGTTCATCCCAGCTCCCCAACATGTGAAACCGCCGGAAAGAATATCATGACACAAGGCCCCTTCATCAATGGCGTTAGGATCTTGGTCGAGAACGGCGATGAGATTCTCACGGAAGGTTTTAAACGGAATAACATCCTAGCTGCATTAGCACATGAGAGCATGAAGTCATCCATACTGACACACAATATAGGGATGATGTCCAAACGTTAACTGTTTCTCAATCGGCTGAAGGTCAGATGATACGTCCAGGAATTTTGACTTCACAAAGGACAATATGGATGGATGGTGACCTTCGTCCGGCGTGACAGAGAACACACTGCAACCATCATCGTGGAGTATCTCGTCTACACCCCCCATACCGAGAGCGTAGCAGTTTGCGAATATTGCACCGAATATCCCCGGTTCCGTTGTGTATTGCATTGGGAAAAGCGATGGCCTCGCATTTGCTGTCTTGAACAATGCTTTGGCAAATCGGATGGCTTGAAGTTGACCAGGAGTCTGACGTAGCATCTTTTGTGAAGAAGACGGAGATATTAGTTCCCGGGTATCTTGTTGTAGGTGCCGAAGAAGAGATCGTTTTTGTTCGATGCTAAGGCTCTCTACGCCATGTAGGACCTCTTTCAGAGAACTATCGTCATTGCTTGAGGCTTGAGAGCCTCTGTGGCTAGAGTCTGAACAATCCTCTAGGACTTCTTCTATGGCCCTGTAGCCTATGAAGTCTGCAAGGGGTTGGCCTGTAAACATTGGGGATTGTTGTATAAGCCCAGGCATGACAGTTTCCCATTGCTCATGAGATCCAAAGTTCGGAGGGTTGCCTTTGTCAAGTACTGGCAGAAATTCCGGTGCCAGTTGGTTAGGAATGACCGTTCGAATCGACTCCTGGGTAAAACCTCCACAAGCTTGCGGCACAGAATAAGTTCCAGTGCCATCAAATCTGTTGAGGTCTAGTGGTATGAGATGGTTAGTCAGAGGTACTGGAGGAGCGCTGGTGTCACTCGAACCACTGGGGCCCGGATCTTCATCTATATGACCATTACCGGTGATACTAGGAAGGTTGCTGGGGTCCAAAAGTTCATTTAGAAGGGCCAGTTTCTGCTTCCGCTTTTCGCCTATGGCACCAAGGTTGATGGTGTTAGTATGATCAAGTTCTGCCGATATGACATGCGACTTTCAGGAAAAGTACATACGATAGTTTCGGCTAGCAAGACGGTTCTGTTCACGGCGTGCCTCGCTATTGCGCTTGGCTGGCACCTTGCCCTTCTGGATCTTGTTGGTCTCACCCATAATATTCCATTGGATGGCAACGAGGTGAGATTAGGGTAAGCAGATGTGGAACTGACGCAGCAGATAAGAAGGATGATGATAACTGCGGTGCCAAGGAGGTCGAGTTTTTCTCTTTTGTTTTTAATCACTTTTGGGCTTATTGGGGGCACGTAGGGGTTTCCGTTTTTGCTGTTCAAAAGTATTGAAATGTCTTTGAGTCGCAACAACATTAGTTGATGCTTTAGTCCATAGGAAGGTGAAAACGGAGTTGAAGTTGTGAGTAACGTAGCAGCCCCACCTCTAGACTTCCTTAAACGTAGTGGTTTATTGACCAATCACACCAATCCCTTTACTGATTCTATCCAATCGTATTTATACCCTATCCCCCAAAGAGTTCCATGAGGCTCTGTAAGGTACCCTAGGGAAGGCAAAGCAAACTTGAAGGTTTACCTAAGGCATTATAAATCATAAGACTTCAGGTAATTTTAGGGTAGGAATAGGGAGGTTCCTATTATTTGTGATATCTTACCTCCTGATCAGAGAGGTTTCCTGCTTTCTGAAGAGTCCTCCCAGATCTTTCATAAAACCAGATCAGAAAAGTCTGGTACTTGGGTCATGACTGACGTTGCTTGAACGACGAAACTGGAGACTTGTGGAATCCCATGGGTTGTTTCATCGTCCGAGAAAAGCCTGGCCATTACCTCACATGTCAATGTTCTGTGTAATCGCATTATTCAATTCTGCATGGTCAGGGAGGTAGGACGCAGAGTTTGTTTATTGTACAACAAACGATATGTACTTCGGGTACCCCGGTTGATCAAGAGACGGTGGTGGAAGTTTCCAGGCTCTGGAAAACCATTCATAGACACATGTCTTCGAATGATGTATGTAGGGAATATAACGGTATCAAACCATAAACTGTCATGCGCCCTCCGAGTCAGGTATTCTAGCTTCCGCGGTGACAGGGGATGTCGGGCAGGCTTTTTTTTGAGGAGGCGAAGAGTGAGCGAATCAGTGCAACACGCTGCATGCCCGAACAGGAACATCGGGGTCGGGTTGTGGGGTCCTAAATCGGACCCTGCGGCTGGAGAGAAAAAAATCGAAGAACTTTTGGCCACTGCAGGAAGGGCCCTAGGGGCCTTTTGGAGGGGTTCTGGGGATGCCTTGCAGGGAGGTCTGTTAGTGAGGTACCTACGCAGCCTGGACAGCATTGTGTGACACCTGTTGAGACACGGGGGGCGTGTCTTGCAGGTAGATTGTTTGTTCCGTGTTACGGGTGTAAGCAGGTAGTTACCAGTATCGGATGCTGCAATGTGGCCCTGGGACGGGCTTTGGAGTATGTAGAAGCCCCTGGAAAGTCCGAATACACTCCAGAAGAGAGTCTAGAAAGTGAAAATGTAAATTTGTTTGGTCTTCAACCGGGTTTCCCCCCTTTTTGCCGCGTCACAACCTTCAGCCGAGACCTGACTCCTACTGTATCGCCCGCCCGCCAGTGTGGTTGTGGTCACTACTACGACGCACTAAGACGCAGGTCATGCATTATCAGCACCGCCACAGAATCTACATTCTTCCACACAATTCCATGAGGCGCGACTGTGCTGCAGCCTCCCTTCTTCCATCTCAAAACCCGTCCGCTCAATCCAAATTCAAGTCTCAGCGCCTAATCTCGACTCGTTCTGAACTTGACATTTGACTCTGACGTTTTTGTTTGAGACACTTCTCTCTCTTCTTCTCAGTGGGATAAACTCCCCTCTGTTTCGACATTTGCGAATTGCACCGCTCTTATCGATCGCCTTGTCTCCCCTCCACTTATTACATATTCGAATCGAATTTTAGAGACCAAAGCCCGTTCAAACTCGCCGCAGCGCAGCCCCGCCGTCGGGAGACTCGAGATACATACACCCTTTGGCGAACAAGGTACGCATATAAAACCGCTGTCTTCTCCCTGTGTCAGATGCTTGGTGTATGATGTTGTCATAGTTCATCTTCTTTTCCTATCACATTGTTGTTGCGCGTGTGAAAATCTGCGTCTTTGTTTGCTTTGCCTGAGCCTTACTAACATTTAACAATAGTCCTCGCTCCCCTGTTATCTCGGACCTTAGGATAACAAAACACAACTCGAACAACCGACACAATGGTCAAGGAAACCAAGTATTACGATACCTTGGGTGTATGTTCTATCGATCCCCGAACAAACCTCGAACAACTGCTAAACCAGATCACAGGTTGCCCCTACTGCTACTGAGCAGGAACTGAAGAAGGCTTACAAGGTCGGAGCCCTCAAGTACCACCCTGGTATGTATTCCAAGACCCCCTCTCTAGTCAGTTCAACATGTCTAATGCAACACAGACAAGAACGCACACAACCCCGATGCCGAAGAGAAGTTCAAGGAAATCTCTCATGCCTACGAAATTCTCTCCGACTCTCAGAAGCGACAGATCTACGACCAGTATGGTGAGGCCGGCCTCGAGGGAGGTGCCGGCGGTGGTGGAATGGCCGCCGAGGACCTTTTTGCTCAGTTCTTTGGTGGTGGTGGTTTCGGTGGCATGGGCGGCATGTTTGGCGGCGGTGGTATGAACCGCGGCCCCCCCAAGGCCCGTACTATCCACCACACCCACAAGGTTACCTTGGAAGATATCTACCGAGGTAAGATCTCGAAGCTTGCTCTCCAACGGTCGATTATCTGCCCCAAGTGTGAGGGTCTCGGTGGCAAGGAGGGTGCTGTCAAGCGATGCACTGGCTGTGACGGCCATGGCATGAAGACAATGATGCGCCAAATGGGCCCCATGATCCAGCGCTTCCAGACTGTCTGCCCTGACTGTAACGGAGAGGGTGAGATCATCAAGGAGAAGGATCGTTGCAAGCAGTGCAATGGAAAGAAGACCACCGTCGACCGCAAGGTCCTCCACGTTCACGTCGACAAGGGCGTTCGCAGCGGCACCAAGGTTGAGTTCCGAGGTGAGGGTGATCAAGCGCCTGGTGTCCAGGCTGGCGACGTCGTTTTCGAGATTGAGCAGAAGCCCCATGCCCGCTTCACTCGCCGGGATGACGACCTTCTATACAACTGCGACATTGAGCTTGTCACAGCTCTGGCTGGTGGCACAGTCTACATCGAGCACCTCGACGACCGATGGCTTGCCATTGATATTCTTCCTGGCGAGGCTATTTCTCAAGGTATGTTTTCACTAAAATGCGCTCAACAACCGCAAGCTAACTGTTTAAGACGCCGTCAAGATGGTTCGCGGCCAAGGTATGCCCTCTCCCAGGCATCACGACTTCGGCAACATGTACATCAAGTTCAACGTGAAGTTCCCCGAGAAGAACTGGACCGAAGATCCCGAAGTTTTCGAGACCCTCCGCAAGGTTCTCCCACCCGCCACGCAGAACGCACCTCCCGGTGACGCTATGTCCGAACCCGCCAGTCTCGAGGATTTGGATAACACAACCCAGAACAGAGTATTTGGCAACTCTGACGGTATGATGGACGAAGACGACGAGGATGGCCATCCCGGCGGTGAGCGTGTGCAGTGCGCCTCGCAGTAAGCTAGTCGAAAGAGAGCGGCGCAACAAACACACACGGCGAGTGCCATAACTGCATCAGTTGCATGCGCGAGTAGAGCATTTCGCACATCCACAGTCTTGGTCAGAGACAGTGCAGCTGAGGGTGGACGTCCGTCCTTGTCGACGACGTCGCTTAATCGTTCAATGATACCAAAATTAGTAAAGGATATGGTCTACTAGGAATTGTGAGCGAGTGTGGTACTGGGGATAAGGTGCAGTTGAGTGGGCACCTGAGTTAACTTCGAACGATCGTGTTTGAGGGGTCAGTGAAGGGAGGGGCTTTCGATCAGGCTTGGCTGGCGTTTTGAGGACATAGACGATTCAAATGAATTTGGTAGTAGCAGACGTAGACCATGAACATGATGATTTGTTTGTTATTCTAATAATGGTTGGCAAAAATCTATCAGCAAAGCACAAGTGATAGTAGTAGTGGACCCAGGAACCATCAAAGCTTCAAAGGGGTACCTGGTCCACATCATCGCAAGATACTATATCCAAGTTGCTAAGTGCCAAGCACATTGCCTCATTCATAATGTACTGGCTACCTTAGGGAGGAACGAAAACTTGAGACCTTGATCCTAAATGATAAAAAGACTTAAGTAACTTTATATAAATTTAGGATATCTTTATTAAGTTTAGGATATCTTATACTGGGTTTATTTTGGGACCCTATATAAAGGTCTGGTATTTTCTTGCCCCCCAAGGACTGGATACTCACCTAGGTACCGAGTCTAGGCGTATTTGCCTCGGTGACAAACTCTTCTTCGTAGGGTTATGGAAATGGCCCTTGTCCATGTGGTACTGCAGAATTATTCTTTTCTGTTACTTTCGGTACATCCTTATTGCTTTTCAGCAGGCCCAGCCTCTTCCATCATTTGGTCTTCAGGCACCTGCTCCTCACCCCTTTCTTCTTCTCGTTCCGTGGCTTGTTTTCTTAGAGGCTCAGTGTTGTACAAAAGACTCCTCACGATTTTCTCATTGACATCAAGTTCAGCGTCTTCAATATCATCATCATCCACCAAAGTTATTGTGTTTGTGGCGAGCTTCTCATCAGTCATGGTAAGTGAGTAGACAGCTAGGCTTCTTGCTTGCGTAGGATCACTGGGGTCCAGAGCAGCGACGATCTTGGGTGCTTCATTGCCGTTGCCGGGCTTGATAGAGAGGCTGAGGGGTTTGCCAGGAAGCTGGATAATAGCTGGGTGATTAAGGGCGTGATTTTTGGTGAGTTGCCATGAAAAGATGGCCGAAATACTAATCAATGTGAGTAGAGATACAGGGCATCGAGGGATAATACACTTACTCCTGACATATGGCGAGAACATAAACAAGATCCGAGCCACCGTGTGGATATACCAGGCTGTAAAGCCCAGACACAGCTACTTTTGTGATCTCGGGCAATATCTTTTGAGCTAAAGATAAGATGCTGATTGTGGAGAGGAGCTTGTTCAATTTCCAATCCCAGACGAACAAGTCCTCATCACCACCACCCGACACCAAAACATCACCACGCGAGGCTGGAATGACCATGGAGCTGATGAACTCTGTGTGACCGAAGCAGAAACCCTCGATGACGTATGACTGGGGAACGTATCTTGAAACACGAATATGTTCATCACGGTCGGCAGTAAGAATGTATCGCCGACCCTCACTCTCACCCATCACGAGTGCAGTAAGCATAGAAACATGGCCAAGCAATAGAGTGATCTCAAATTCTGGACCTTCGGCTTTGGAACTGCTGTCGTTTTTAGTTCGTGTAGAAAGCTCCATCTGTCTTTGCTGCTCTTGAAGAGCTCGTAGGTTACGCTTCGAGTGAACGGTTGTAGTATTGGCAGATGGTTTATAAGCCGGTTTGGCGGAGGCAGGGGTTGAAGCAGTCTGGAGAGTAGGATCGTAGAGGAGAGGCAGAGAGTAAACGTCTCCAAATTTATCAGCGACAATAATCTGAGAGTCTGGTCCGATAACGACATCACTGGGGCGTTTGGGAAGAGTTCTGGCCTAGCATTAGTATACGGGCTGAGGAGTTGGTTTTTTCCTATACGAGCTTACCGCTTGCTGATTTGGTTGAGGGAGCCCTTTCCATCATTCTCAAAGACCCAGATGGATTTGTCATGTCCAGTGATAGCCAAGATATGGGAGCCATCAAGAGTACTTGTCAGATGCGTAATGACTGGGCGATCAGGTACGCGTGAGATGTTGTGATCCTTTGCTCGTTGCTGGTTTTGTCTGTTCTTGCTCTTCTTTCCACCCTTCTTTTTGCCCTCACTCTTCGTTTCCTCCGAGATTTGAGTACCCTCTTGGACCTTTGGCTTGGCTGGAGTTGTCTCATCTTTTGGCTCTTCAGTTCTTTGTCTCTTGGCTGGGGGTCCACTCCCATCTTCTTCCTCGGCGATATGAGCCTTGGTCACGGGGTTCTCAGTTAAGATATCACCTGAAATAGCCTTAACTGCCACATCTACTCTGTCAACATCTGGATGTTTCCACGTCGAGAAGTGAGATCCATCCTCAAGGCCAAAAGAATGAATCTTGCCTCCTCGAGCAGCAAAGAGAACATTTCCACTGACGTGGACAACGTTGAAGGGAAATTTCATGACGCCTGAGCCCCTGTGAGTTGATTAAAGATTGATTATCAAATTGATGAGATTTGATGCTGGAGCAATTGCTCGGCGACAGCTCAAATCAGACTCTTCTAAGTTCCACTTTCATGAGGTGGATGTGATAAAAAAGATACATCGAGAATGTACCTAGGTGTATGCTTACCTGAGGTGTACTACCTAGTTCCCCACCTAAGCCACCTTTGCACCCAGAGTAGACTAGCGCCTCCATGCCCTAAGCGAATTGGCTGTGAGCACACATTACATTTTCCGAAACTGTCAAAAGAGTTTTCTTGTCTTCATCAACATCCTCATCAACCTCCAATTTCCATTTTACGATACCCCTTGCCCTTAAATACTCCTGCCTTCAGAAAAATAAGAAGATATGGGGGGCAAGTCTGAGAACAAGGCCAACTATTTCGACAAGCTCAAGGGCTTGCTCGAGGCCTACACGTCCATCTTCATCGTTGAGGTTGACAATGTCAGCTCCCAGCAGATGCACGAGATCCGACAGGCTCTCCGAAGCAAGGGTGTTGTCCTCATGGGCAAGAACACCATGGTGCGTCCCTTGAGTCGAGGAAGAAGACACCATCGGGTTGCTAACAGTATTTTCAGGTTCGCCGAGCCTTGAAGACCTTCATCCCCGACTCCCCCGAGTACGAGCGTCTCCTCCCCCACGTCAAGGGCAACGTTGGTTTCGTCTTCACCAACGACGACCTTAAGGAGGTCCGTGACATCATCCTCGCTAACAAGGTCGCCGCTCCTGCTCGTGCCGGTGCTCTCGCCCCTGCCGATGTCTGGGTTCCTGCTGGAAACACTGGTATGGAGCCTGGAAAGACGTCTTTCTTCCAGGCCCTCGGTGTCCCCACCAAGATTGCCCGTGGTACCATTGAAATCACCACTGATCTCAAGCTCGTTGAGGCCGGCTCCAAGGTCGGTCCCTCCGAGGCCACGCTTCTCAACATGCTTAACATCTCTCCTTTCACCTACGGCATGGGTATCTCTCAGGTTTACGACCAGGGACAGTCTTTCCCCCCCAGCGTTCTCGACGTCGGTGAGGAGCAGCTCCTCAAGACTCTGTCTCAGGCTATTGCCACCATTGCCACTATCTCTCTGGCTCTTAACTTCCCTACCCTGCCCTCAGTTCTCCACTCCGTTGTCAACAGCTACAAGAAGGTTCTTGCTGTTGCCATCTCCACCGAGATCACATGGCCTGAGATTGAGGAACTCAAGGACCGCATTGCCAACCCCGATGCTTATGCTTCCGCCGCCCCTGCCGCTGCCGCTTCTGGTGGCGCTGCCGCCCCTGCTGAGGCTGAGAAGAAGGATGAGTCCGAGGAGGAAGATGAGGACGAGGAGGGCTTCGGCGGTCTTTTGTATGTGAACCCCTTTCAATACCTTGTGGATACGACTAACAAATCTGCAGCGACTAAATCTAGTCACATCCACTTGATGTACGACTGCCTTCCAGGACTTTGGTTGGGTTTACGACTTATGTATCTTAAAAAAGGGGCACATAGATCGTCTGCTGGACAATTGAATCTGTCGCGACGGTTACGAATCAAGTTTTGGGACTCAACATGCGAGTGAAAGCTTTTACCAAACCCACTAATGCAGCTCTGCCGATGGAGTGCGATATTCAAAAAGGTTAGTCAGACAAACATACAACTTTCTTTTTTCCCTTTACATTTCCGGATGATTATATAAATTGTTCAAGAGCTTTTTAACCCTGAATCTCCTGATGACACACACATCACCACCCTATGACGGACACCTAGTACAATTATGTTACTTTGACAAGATGTTCTTTGAGAGTATCAAAGCTAATGGTCAAATCATACAGATCTCCAAGCCCTCGAATGTTCTCAAGCTTCCATAATGTGATGTCCATGCATGTTTCCTAAGCGAATCTGATAGTCCAGCTAAACTGTAGGATATGGGAAGACTGGTGATACCTAACCATATGTACTAGGAAAAAACTTGAACTTCTAGTCAATCTTCTATAATCCTAATATTATATTATAATTGGAAGTTTAGAACGTTTGTTACATTTTCCAGGTACAGATTAGAGTTTGGAAATAGACCACTGTCGATCAATCTTATCTACCCATGGCATTCTCACGCTTGTAGTTTGTCTTGCCATTATCTCATGAGCTTGCAAGAAGACACTAAGAAGCTTTAAATCTTTGTTATTGGCCCTACCTGCCGCCCCTCACTGTTAGAGGCGCGACTGTATTTGCCGTCAATACCTACCAAAAGTCATCTATATGAAGCTGTCTTGCTTCAAGGCCCGTTTCGCTACCTCAATAGCTCGATCCGGTAGCCCAGCGAGCCTTGCTACCTTCAGTGCATGACTTTGTCGGTTGATACCTCTCTGAAGTTTGTGGTTGTAGAAGAAACCTCCCTCACGATCTTCGACTACATTGGTGCAATATGTCTGAACAACACCTACATCAGCTGAACACAACCCCTCTTCATGAGCCAAGTCGGCTACGGAGTGGAAATGTGTCGCAAAAAGAGTGCGGCATTGGTTCACGGTCGCGAGGTGATGCAGGCATGCAAAGGCGACAGCTGTGCCGTCCTCTGGCGTAGTTCCTCGACCGATCTCATCCATTATGACGAAAGACCGCGGTGTTGCCTGCTTGAGGATCGCTGCTGTTTCCAGCATCTCAACCATGAATGTGCTTTGATCGCGGTAGAGGTTGTCAGCTGAGCCCACTCGGCTAAAGATAGCATCCACAATCCCCAATTCTGCGTATGATGCAGGCACGTAGCAACCGATCTGGGCCAAGATCGTGATGAGAGCATTCTGGCGTAGAAACGTACTTTTGCCGGCCATGTTGGGACCTGTGATCAGCCAGACCCGGCCGTCAGTTGGCGATCCAACCAGACAGTCGTTCCTCACAAAACTTCGACCCTGCTCGTACAGGCCTCCCTCAACAGTGGGATGTCTGCCGCCTATGATGGTGTGACTAGTCGTATTGTTCAGAACGGGCCGGACGAGGTTCTGCTCGCGAGCCAACTTAGCGAAGGAGGTCGTGATGTCAAGTTCATCGAGGACGGCGGCATTACGGCGCAGCTTGACGAGATTTTTTACGACAAGTTCTCGAAGGGAGTAGAACACGGCTTGTTCTTCAGCACGAATCTGGGCGCGAACTTGGTCCATACGCTGCCCGAGAAGTGTCCATTCAGAGATGTGGAAAGATCGTGTAGAACGGCTCGAGGACAGAGCTTGTACATCAGTGAGATTTCGAGCGTCTTTGCCCTTGGTATGGGCAATGTGGCCAAGGCCGGGTGTCCACTTGAGGGATAGACTTGGAGCATTGAATCTTTGGCGGAGTGTCTCGTTGAGAGCCGCTTTTTCTTCTGTCAAAGTCGCGAGATCAGTGTGAAGCTTTGCCAAGTTTGGGCTCGCAGCAGGTCTCATGACCCAGGCTCCATTCTCTTCGGCGTAATAATCCCGAATACTGACGGGCCGTTTTCGCTTGCCCTTGGGAAGAGATGCCGCATCATCTTGTGAACCTTCGTTGCTAACGACAATTTCAGCAAGGGCTAACATCTGGCTGGCCTCGGAGTCTTGGACATCATGCTGTAACACAATACCTTCTTCATCAATTGCATCTCTGATGCGCTGGGAAAGTCTCAGGGGGTGCGTGAGACTGATTCGAGATATCAATGAAGTTAGGCAGTGGTGCTCTAACTTGCGAGATGCAAAGTTGGCCTTTTTCAAGAGATTCACGACATCCCTGGTCGCATCGATAGTACTGGCCAAATCGAGGAGGTCATCAGCATCGCCACGGCCAAGTGTGAATTTCTGAACAAGTCGCTGAGAGTCGTAGCTCCTACGCAACAAGAGGATTAGGGAGTCACTCAGGTTTATATCGTCGATGAAGCGGGCGACGAGGTCCTGTCTACTAGTGATGAGCTCAAGAGACGTGGACGGTGCACTCAGCCACTCGTTGAGAAGTCGAGCACCGCTTTTAGTAACAGTGCGACGAATGGCATGCAGCAAACTACCCCGGAACACACCATCACGAATGGTTTGCTTGATCTCCAGAGCACGCATGCTATTTTTATCGACAGCCATGACCTGCATGTCTTTGTTCCTTAGCGGAGGTTGCAACTTCATACTCATGCCTTGCAGCCGATCCTTGACGTAACTAAGAAGGAAGCCGGCAGCGTGTACCTCAGCTGGTGAGAAGGCGGATGCTTCATGTTTAGCTAGGGCACACTCCAGCATGGGCGTCCAGTTTTCGGGATGAAACAGCGAAGAATCATGCGGGCGGGGTGCGTATGAGATGATGTGACGATCCTCAGCGAGGAGGTCAGATAGGCCATTGTCAGGGCAAGACTGCAGTGCCTGGTCTAGGAGAAGCTCGCGCGGGCAAAGTCGGGACAAGATCGTCGGCAAAGATGCAAGATTGGCTTCTTGGGTGCAGAAGTAACCGGTTGAGAGATCAAGCCATGCTAGGCCGAGTGACACGGCGTCTTGGAGCCCCTGAGACTGTCCAGCACCTCGACCAACGCCAATGCCAACAACTGATGGTGATGGGTGGGCTGATTCGGGTCCATGGCCCGCTAGTCCTCCTTCCGAGCCTGCCACTCGGCCGATAACGGTCTTTACATCAGTGACGGTATTTGTGGCTTTGATGCCTGGCTCAATATGAATCGCCATCACGTAGTTGTTGGCATATGGATCCATAAAATTCTCATCTATCAGAGTCCCGGGAGTGATGATACGAGCAACTCGACGGTCATGCATCAACCCACCTGATCTGACCTTTGCCGTGGGAGAGTTTGGATACTCCTCAGCGATCGCGACATGGCGGCCGAGATCTTGAACGAGAATTTTGAGGAAGCGATCGAGCTGGAAGAAGGGGAAACCTGCCTATAAGACGGATGATGGTGGTGAGATATTGAACCGGAAGATGAAAAGGAGGGCATTAATAAACATACCATGGGGACAAGACCAGCATTCGTCTTTTTGTTAGCTACCTTGATGTTTAACAGGGGCCCGTACTCCTCAGCGTGCTCAAAGTAGAGCTCATAGAAACCGCCCACTCGCGTCAGCAACACACAGTTATCAAACTTGAGCATGTTCTGACGGGCTTGAAGTAGCACGGTGGGATACGCGGGAGGATCTTGGGGTAGTGGCGGCAGCGGGAGCGGCGAAGTCTCTGTCGACTCATCGTGGGGAGATGAAACTGACGATGACGTTGGTAGAGGAGATGCTGCCTTTGGTTGAATAAGCCCCTGAGGCAAATCGGAGAGCTTTATGGTGGTGGTGGTCTTTTTACCCCTGGCTTGGAGAGGACGGTGGGGAGATGGTGGATGCCGGAATGAGCGGATAGAGAAGCCATGGTATAGTGAGTGCTCAACATGACAGTGCCCATGAAGCATAGCAGAAGCTTTAGGTGGAGGAGCTACTACCGTTGCCGCAGCGTCAGAAACAACAAATGTGGCTGCCTTGAGCACAGAGCTAGAAACTGAGGCTGAAGCTGAAGCAGAGCCAGGCACAGAGATAGACCTGGAAGTTGAAGCCGATGGTGATGCCAAGGGCCGCAGATGGCGGATGCCGAACACCGGGAGCACCATACGGCTGGAACATGGAGACGGGATGGGCTGTTACAGTGGCGATGATGTTTATGCAACGATGGATATGTATCCGTTTGAAGTATGTATCCAGCAAGCAAGGGCAGGTCAATTTCTGATTTGAGAACAGCTCAAGAGGGGTCCTTTGTCAATCAACACTCTAGCCACCTACTTACCTACCTAGGTATGATTGATTAATTTGGGCTTGAGGCTGTCGACTGCAGAAGCAAGATCCGACGTGCAAAATGGTGGCATTGAACAAGGAATGGTATGGTGATTAACGGATGGATCATGCAGGGCTCATATGATGACGAGGAAAAGAGGAAGCAGTCCCATACCACCCCGCTGGTGCGAGATGCTCGAAACTACCTTGGGTACAAGGTATAAGGTAAGGCAAGGTGTGATATGTAGGTAGTATGGGGCATAAAAAAGTGGCTCCGAGTATCGTAAATCAGTTTTATCACAGAGCCAACGCGATTCGTTACTCACAAGAATAGCACACAGCCAGTGAGTTACAGCTTGCGCTGGGTAGACAGCAGCTTCAAGTCTTCTATAGGTAGGCAGTTCCTGGTCATTACCATGTGGGGAACAGCGGATATGAGCGTTATGGAATATATCGGTGAAGAACAAAAAGGAAAAGATGATAATTAGTAGGTAAATCAAAACCAATCGCACCGAGCCCAGGAGTAGGAGCCAATGTAACAGCTTCATCTGAGAGACCAAATCTGCATCGACGAGCATAGAAACACCACAGCGGGCTGCCATAACTACCTACCTACCTACCAATCATCTTGTTTATTAGGACACAGTTTTCAACAATTTGTTTTACTAGGGTCGGCAACTACAAAATCTCCTCATCTTCAAGTAATGAATGAGGAAAGGGACATTCGGTAATAGTAGGACCCCTTGGCTTGTAATTCCGATCCTGATGGATGATCCAGGGACTCTATGACAAGGTACTCCAGAGATTTTACGGAGATGGACAGCGCCAGAGCCCA